GGGGTTGTTGGACGTCCTCAAGTACTGTATAATGCAGGTCAAGCAGGTTAATTAGCATATTGTCGTGTGGCCAAACGAACAGCACGTAGCTGCCAAACTGCATTCAATCTCTTCAACAGTAACACACATCTTAGAGCTCCGGCATTCCACAGATGGCAGCATGCTACCTGACGGACGGAAAGGGCTGCATGAACACAGCGTTAAGATTCTAACCAGCAAGGAACTCCACACTGAGCAAATTTCACAGGGAAACAGAAATTTCTCACATTTGCTTTGTCACGGTAACTCCCGACTTGCCAACGCAATAAAAAAGGGGCAGGACACGTGTGGAATGTAGAAAAAGGAGAAATCAGCAAACCTTGACTTATGTAAAAACAGGTCCAAAAAAGTACATTCTGAGAAAGCATATAAAATACGATGTATGCATTGATTAGACATAATTTGTTTTTGTTGTTGCTGCTGCAAAGGCAGATATAGAGAGAGGAGGAGAAAGAGAGAGGAAGATCTTCTGTCTGACGATGCACTCCCCAAGTGACCACAGCGGCCGGTGCTGCACAGATCCAAAGCCAGGAGACAGGAGCTCTGTCCAGGTCTCCCACGCAGGTGCAGGGTTCCAAGGCTTTGGGACGTCCTCCACTGTTTCCCCAGGCTACAAGCAGGGAACTGGATGGCAAGCAGGGCTGCCAAGATTAGAACCGGGCCCAATAGGGGATCCCAATGTGTTCAAGGTGAGCAATTTAGCTACTAGGCCACAGCACTGGGCCCATAAAAATTTATGTACGCCCTGAAAATTTCCTCATGGAACCTTCTATATAATTTTTAGAAGCAGTGTTAAACATCAACAGTCCCAGAGTCAGATGAACACTTCCTAGAACAGTATCAAAAATTATCTTCTCTGGGCCCAGCGTAGCGGCCTAGCAGCTAAAGTCCTCACCTTGAATGCGTCGGCATCCCATATGAGCACCGGTTCATGTGCCGGCAGCTCCACTACCCACCCAGCTCACCGCTTGTGGCCTAGGAAAGCAGTTGAGGACAGCTCAAAGCCTTGGGACCCTGTACCTGCATGGGAGACCTGGAGGAAGTTCCTGGCTCCTGGCTCCGGATCTGCACAGCACCAGCCATTGCGGTCACCTGGGGAGTGAATCATCGGACGGAAGATCTTCCTCTTTGTATACCTGACTTTGCAATAAAAATAAATAAATCTTTAAAAAAAAAAATAGTGATGGAGCCCGGTGTGATGGCGCAGTGGTTAAGGTCCTCGCCTTGCACGCCCAGGATCCCATATGGGCGCTGGTTCTAATCACGGCAGCCCCGCTTCCCATCCAGCTCTCTGCCTGTGCACCTGCATGGGAGACCCGGAAGAGGCTCCTGGCTTCGGATCCGCATAGCATCGGCCGGCATGCTCACTTGGGGAGTGAATCATCGGACGGAAGATCTTCCTCTCTGTCTCTCCTCCTCTCTGTATATCCGCCTGTCCAATAAAAATAAAATAAATCTTAAAAAAAAAAATACTGATGGACAATGTTTATTTTCAGCAACACAGAGACATTCTTCCAAGAAACAGATGCGCTCTCTCCACTCGAGAGGAAATGGGAATCTACTCCGAGAGCAAACTGAAGATTGCAATGCAAATTTCGACAAGGTGGCTTGGTAACAGAAAAGCTGGCGGAGGAGGGAGCTGAGGTCTGTAGCCCTTCATTCAGGCTGCAGCTCCCAAATTAACGGTGAGATTATCACACTCTCAAACGGTCATGAAAAACTTTCTCTACTGCCCAACTGGTGTCAAATGTTTCTTCCATGACTGACAGTACTTCTCCGACCTTGGATTATCTGCAACTTGTGTCAAGGAGCCACCAGCTCCTGATGACCGCATCTGGCCAGCACGCCCCCGGCCAGTGGGCTGTGAATTCAGAGCCCAGACGGCTGCTGGTTCCACCTAACAGCTGTCACTGTGTGACTGCCATGTAGCTTGACTCACAGACTGGGGGCCTTTGCCCTCGCATGGACTGCAACGTGGGTGTTGAGCGCCCCCGTGTACGTCAAGCTTCTACCACACTCCTGACACGAGAAAGGCCTCTCCCTGCTGTGACGGTGCACATGGGTCTCCAGACTCCTCTTGTGCAGGAAGCCTTTGCCACACTGCAGACACCGGAAGGGCATCTCGCCGCTGTGTGTGTGCAAATGGGCCTTCAGGCCTCCCCGCGTGCAGCAGCTCCTGTCACACTCCGGACACTGGAAGGGCTTCTCGCCGCTGTGGACTCGAATGGGTTCTGTGAGCTTGCACTGCTGGACGAAACCCTTGCCGCACTCGGCACAGCGGAACGGCCTCTCCCCTTGGTGCAGGCACAGGTGTTTCTTCAAGTCGGCTTTGTACCGGAAGGTCTTGCCGCATTGTGGGCACGGGAAGGGCCGCTGCCCTGCGTGGACAACCTGGTGCGTGAGGAGACTGCGCTTCAGGTAGTAGCTCTCCTCACACTTACTGCACTGGAATCGCTTCTTCCCACACAGCAACACTGGGCTCCGACGGAGCTCACAATTCCCTCTGGATCTGTCTCTGTGCTTTGGATATTTTCAGGGCTGCCTCTTGAAGTGGCTCCTTTGGTGCTCTGCCAGGTCGCGCTTCACCACAAAGACTTCCCTGCAGACACAGCAAGAATAACATCCCGACCCATGCAGAGCTTCCAAGTGACCTGGAGCATCTGGAGGCTCGGGCCACGGAGCTTGCTTGGCCTGACTGGATGCTGGGAGGCTCAGCTTTTGATTTAGAACCTCTAGTTCTTGCAGACCTGGAGAGTGTAAGGTAGTTCTTTGATCAGATGAATTCTTTTTTTCCTTTCCTGATAAGGTGGCACGCAAGTCTTGCTCTTGAAGACCACCGAAATGGCATCCCTCCTCCTCTGCCCTCAAAGTCCCTTGGTTATCTAAAGAGAAAAAAAAGTATCACTCTCATTAGCAATATGCCTTCCACACTGGGGTTCAAGGACTGTCTCGTGTCACTCCCAGAGAAGAAAAGGGAATCCCACTGATGGCAATGACTGCGATGTCTGCCTCTCATAACTCCTGCATTCCTTTCACCATGTGCAAAGAAACAGGCCAGCATGAAAATAAAAATTGTAGGGCCCAGCGTGGTAGCCTAGCAGCTGAAGTCCTTGCCTTGCATGCCAGGATCCCATATGGGCACTGGTTCATGTCCTAGCGGTCTTGCTTCCCATCCAGCTGCCTGTTTGTGGTCTGGAAAAGCAGTTAAGAACAATCTAAAGCCTTAGGACCCTGTAACCCATGTGGGAGACCTGGAAGAAGGTCCTGGCTCCTGGCTTTGGATCGGCTCAGCTCTGGCCACTGCAGCCACTTGGCAGAGAGAATTAGCAGATGGAAGACCTTTCCTCTCTGTCTCACCTCCTCTCTGTAGATCTGACTTTTCAATAATTAAAATAAAAAATGAAAGAAAGAAAAAGAAGAAAAAAAAGGAAGAAAAGAAAAACTGTAAGCAAACAAACATTGTGAAGCTAGGAATGACCCGAGAGGGTCAGCGGAAGTTGGAGATGATGAGTTCCTGAGCATCTGTATCATTACTGTATTTCCTTAAATCTGACATAAACAGTCCAATATTTATACATGAAGGCTTGGGTCATATGGTCATCTTTCTTCTATACTGAGTTTCAGAAAAATGTCTCTGGAAGAAATGTTATTAAAAAGATATCTTTGTGGCACTGGTGTTGTGATGCAGTTAGTTTAGCGGCTGCCTAGTTTAGCGGCTGCCTATTATAACGGAATCCTGTATGAGTGCTGCTTTCTCTTCTGGCAGTTCCGTTTCCAATCCAGCTTCCGGCTGATGAGCTTGGGCAAGCAGTGGAGCATGCCCCGTGGAATGAGGCCCCTGCCGCCCAGAGGAAATACCTGGCTGGGATTCCAGCACCTGGCTTCAGCCCAGCCCAGCCCTGGGTATGTGGCCATTTGGGCAGTGAACAACAAGCAGACAGAAGACTTTTCTCTCTCTGTCGCTCTGTCTGTGTAACTCTGCCTTTCAAATTAATAAATCTGAAACAATTATGTCTTTTCTAGGAACCATCAAGCAGCAATTTATTGATTTCAGTATCATTACCTTAGAAAATATTCCCTTTCCCAAAGCACTTGGCATTGTAAAATGATACTTGTATGAGATGAGTCAGTGTTGTTCCTAAGTAAAGCCCGTGAGGACAGGAGCGAAGGAGACCAGTTACGACATCTCTTACCCACTACAACTCAAGAGAACAATTGCAGACATTCACCTGAGCCTCTCTATTGCAGAGCTGCTGCTTCTGCAACTGAATTGATAGAACTCCGTTAATTTTATTTTCCTCTATTTTTCTTTCTTTAAAAGACATAGGCAAATTTTTTCTTTGTAATGACTTAGCCCTTCATTTGAAAAGCAGAATGTTAGGAGAAGAGAGGAGAAAGAGAGAGAGATCTTCCAACAATTAGTTCACTCTTCAACAGCAGCCATGGTGGGGGCTAGAGGTCAGGCAGAAGCCAGGCTCAGGACCGCAGTCCACGTCTCACACAAGGATGGCAGGAGCCTAATGACCTGAGCTGTCACAGCTGCCCACCAGGGTCTGCATGAACAGGAAGCTGGGGTCACGGGGTCAGAGGTGGATACTGAACTTAAGCTATCCATGTGACATTGGGTGCCTGAACTGGAACCCTAACTGCGAGGGTAAAACACCTGCCACATAAATATGTTTATCTTAAATTCGTTTTTATTATAAAAGGCAAAGAGACAGAGATGTCCCATCTGCTGCTTCACTTGGGCTGCCCTCCCATTTCCCAGGCTACAAGCAGGCAGCCAGATCAAAAGTGAGCAACTGGGGCATGAACTGGCACTCACGTGGGATGTCAGTGCTTGGAGGCAGAAGTCTAGCCAATAACCTAGAAACACTCAGGAATTAAGGCTAGGAAGATTAAAAGCTTCATGATCTTAAATCCATCTTACTCACCATGACATGGGAACTTTCTGGGATTCTTCAAGTCCAACGACTCATCAGTGCAAGGGCCAGTTGTCTTCCTTGCAGAGTCTAAGCTTCCCTGGTCTCGGGTTAATAGCATTCTCCCGTGTTCCAGCCAGGTGGTTAAATCTGCCTTGGACCAAGCACAGCCTGCAAAGACAGTCCACCCAGACACACTGGGTTAGCTAAGTAGTTGACTGAAAAACCAGTTCTAGGAGACATGAGGCTAAAGTGAGGTAAAAAGAGGGAAGCCCTTCGAATTACATGAAGACAATGGAATACAACCTATGCATGACTAGTCAGCTTACATATTTTCTTCAATATTTTACAAAATTTAAAAAAACAGAGAAATGATTATGAAGATCATAAAAAGCACTTATTCAAAAGTGTTCATAAGACCTTTCTGCCTAGGAGAAAAATGACTTTTTTCTTCATAGACTGAAGGAGGGAACCTTGATCACTACACTTTTCTAATTAGAAGCTTTACAACCAGGGAGATGAACTACTAATGCGCCAAAATTCTTGGTAAACTTAGTGAAAGAAACAGGAGTTGTTGGATGACGGCATCAGCGGCAGAGCAATACAGTCTAACAGCCCAAGACCGAAGAGAAGAAAGGGATTTTATGAACCAGTGGAGGGGTCCTTCCCCTTCAGCAGCGTTACCTAACGCTCAGCCAGGGATCTGTGACTGTCAGAGCAAACTACGTCCCACAGCATTCGCAGCACCCACCGTGCTTGTTCCAAATGCAGATCCCTGGGCCTTGGCCTGGACCTGCTGAGTCCTAATCGCTGGGGCTGGGATTTGGATGATCTATAGAGAAAACCATTGGCAAATAATACCATTTGGCTTTTAAAATGTGTAAATATCAGAATGAATTTTCCAATTCCAAAGACACTAACTGTGACAACTCAAAAGTTAGCATGGGGCAGTCAGCACACAGCCCGCATCTCCCCTAATCTGCTGTTCACTGGGTCTCAGCCTCCTTAGCTGGAGGGCACCAGGGCTCTTTCTATCCTGGTTAAATATTCTCCCTAGATGACCCCGACTTGCCTCCTAGTTAAAACACCACTTATAATACAGCTCCTAAATATGTAAATCCAGTCCTGACCTTCACTTGGAACTCCAGTTTTGCACATCCAGTTACCTCCTCTCACAAAGAAATGTCTAACAGCCCCCTCAAACTTAATGCAGCCCAAGTCTGCTCTCTCCCCAAGCCTTCCTTCAGTGAATCAAGTCACCTTCCTTCAATATCCTCAAACTGAAACACCACCTCCAGTCCACCCACAAACATTGGGATTCTACATCCAAAACCTCTCTCTGGAACACCCATCTCTCTATCTCACCTGCCCGCTCCAGTAACCACAAAATCACATCAGTACTGCTAGGCATCTTCTTGGCTGGCCTCCTTTCATTGCTGCCTCCACAATTCATTCTGTATATAGCAACCAAGAAATCACTGGAAAAGTGTGGTGGGCTAAGGAGTTGATTAGTGCTTGTTAGCCTGGGCAGGAACAGGAACTGGGCTTGTGGCTACAAACACCTAGACTAATTGGACTTATCTGTACCCAATATCCTGCTAAATGAGGATGTGGGGGGAAGAGTACAGAAGGAGAGTTGAAGAAGCAATAAAGCCAGACTTCACAGAGATTTCACCATCACTGTCTCCTGTAGGTGCTTCAGCCCCAGACCCTGTGGTGTCCAGTTATTGTTTCTGCTGGTCAGAGCAGAAAAGTGTATTACATTGCTCCACTCTGTTTCAATGACCCCATTATTGTTCCTTTGTATTGGAATAAAATCCACCTCCTCGGTTTGACACTTCCCAACTTGGCATTGCTCTGTGTGTCTGTGCTGTAACAGACTCCCTGTGGTTCCCAACACGTCTAACTCTTCGATTCCTATCTTTGGCCTCTGCACTAGAATGTCCCTCTTCCTACAATTTATTCTTTCTGATTTCACATGGCTGATTCCTTGTCAGTCACATCTCAAGCAGAAAAAGCTTTTAACCCCCTAAACAGGGAGGATTCTTCAGGCTAGACTGAGATCATTTACTAAACTGACTCCAACAGCGATGGTTTTAACAACTCAGGGATGAGTCACAGTGAGCCAGGTAAGCAGTGAGGCACCATTTCTCCAAACTTCTCTGTGCCTCTCGAGGACTTGCTTGGACACCTACTGTTCTCTTTCTCCGTGCAGGCAACCTTCCTTCCCTGTCCTATCACGTCGTGCACTGTGCCGTGTCCCAGCTCATCTTAACTTCAATGATTATGTTCCCGTCAAGAGAAGTCAAGATGGAAAACTCATCTTTCCAGCAATGTCATCAATTGCTACAAGAATCCGTTTCAGAAATAAAAGAACACACTTAAAAGACAGGCACTTATTGCTTAGCAATTTCAGCCGTGGGAGACATTAGAAAATGGGATGGGAGACAGAGAATGCAAATACTAAGAATACTGAAGACACAGATATTCTGTGCGAAAAGGGAAAAGCTGAACATTCCTGTATGTTTACAGAAAGGCAAAAAGACATTGTGAATGGAAATTGGGGACAGATCATATCCAAGAGGCCAACAGCTGGAAGGAACCCTGCGAGTATGATCTGGGTCATTTCCACAAAGCGGTCCCTCAGCAGCCCGCTCTCACCTATGGAGTCAAGGGTCTCATAACTGGCTTGCATCACTTGCTGATACAATTCCTTTTGCCATTTCTGCAGGATCTCCCACTCTTGCTCCGAAAAATACAAAGCCACATCGTCAAAGGTCCCGGTGATCTGGAGGCACAAGCAGATAGACACATGTTCACTCTGAGGCTACTGTGTTCTTCAAGGTCTGTGAGTTACCTACTGCACAGAGTGCCATGTCACACAAGGAACCATGTAACAAAGGACTCCATACGTCCGCAGGAGCCAAGCAGCGCATGCGTGAAAAGCAAGCCCTGGCACACATGCACTACCGAGAGGAAAATCCTTCACTTAGCAGCAATCAATTGTACCATAAAGACTAGATCCAGTGTTGCTGCCTGTGTCTCTTAATTTTAACAAAAAAAAAACCTTTTTATTTATTTAAAATAATTCTAGATTCAAAGAAGTTGCAAAGATGGTTCAGGAAGGTCTCCTGTACCCTTTATCAATTTCCTCCAAAGGTCACATTATATATTACTATAGTACAACATCAAAACCAGAAAGCTGGCACAGGTATGATAAGTTTGTGTAACTATGAGATTCTGAAACACCTGCTGATTCATGTAACAACCACTGAAATCAAGAAACAAAACTATAAACAAACTATTTCATACACTACCAAGAGCCCCTTTGTTCCAACCCATTATAATCACATCTATTTACCTATTACCCACCATGACAATTCTGCCCTTTCAAGAATGTTGTATAAACGGAATCACGCAGCATACGACCTGCTGAGGTTGGCTTTTTTCACTTGGCATTCATCCATTTTTAACTGTTCGAACAAGTATACAGTAATATCTGAAAGGTGATTTTTTTAAGGTTTATTTATTTTTACTTGAAAGGCAGAGTTTTACAGTGAGAGGAGACACAGTCTCCCATCAGCTGGTTCATTCCCTCAACGGCCACAACAGCCGGAGCTGAGCTGAGCTGAAGCTGGGAGCCTGGAGCTTCTCCCTGGTGTCCCATGTGGGCGCAGGATCCCAAGAACTCGGGCCATGCTTTATTGCCTTTCTAGGCCATAAACAGAGAGCTGGACCGGAGGTGGAGTAGTCGGGACTTGAACTGTACCCAATGTTGGATGTCAGAGCCACAGGGTGGAGAATTAGCTTTCTACACTACTGCGCCAGCCTCTATGTGGTTTTAATTTGCATTTTCCTAGCGAAAAATGACGCTAAGCATAATTTTTAAAATTTTGAAGATGTTCAATTTGGCCCATATTTCTTTTGTAAGTTATAGCTTTATTTTTAGAAGATTCATGTATTTACTTGGCAGGCAAAGCAGCATAGGCAAGACACAGAGATCTGTCACCGGCCACGTCACTAACCGACAGGTTTGGGCCAGGCCAACCCCAGGAGCCAGAACTCCAACCTGGTCTCCCACCAGGGTGACAGAGCCGAAGCACTTGCACCATCCTCAGTCGCCCCCCAGGTGCATCAGGAGGAAGCTGGGCTGGAAGCAGTACGGCCGGAACTCACAACACGCACTCCTACTTGGGAAGCTGTGTTTGCAAGGGTTGGCTTAACCAGGGCACCAAGCCCTACAATGTGCTTTGTTGATGTCACATCTAAGGGACATGTCCTAGGGACAAAGGTGTTATCTTCTACAGATCTGATAGCTTTCTGTTTCACAGGGAGACATGCTCAGTGTATAAAGAGAAAGTGGAAAAGCGCTGGGCACTTTGAATCACTGGGCTCTTCCCAAATGTATTAGAAAAAAGTGATCACAAATCCTTCGAAGTGAATTTTCCTAACAGGAAAATCTAGGAGACCGGAGACCCAACACCACCTGACACTGAGGACTTTGGAGAGAGAAGTTACAGAGGTGGGGGCGACCCTCACCCTCATGAGAGTGCTTGGCATGGAGTCCCTCTACGCCCCGCCCAGCATCCCAAGGCACACACCATGCCTTCCACACTTGGCTCTCTGCCCCATCGGGGAGACTCAGACGGAGTGCTTGGGTCCTGGGATTGGCCTGGCCTGGCCCAGCCCTGACTGCTGCAGGTATTTGGGCATTGAACCCACAAATAGAAGCATCACCTGCCTCACCCCCACTTCACCCTAAACACACACACACACACACACACACACACACACACACACACTCTCTCTCTCTATATATATATATATGCCTTTCAAATTAATAAAGGACTTTTAAATGGAAGAATAAGACCTTATTGAAACTGTCCCTCTCCCAATATTCAAAGCAAGATGAAATCTCATCAACATTATTATAGGCCTCAAAAGTGTATCAGTTGGGCCTGGCGCGATGGCGCAGTAGTTAAGGTCCTCACCTTGCAAGCCCGGGATCCCATATGGGCGCCAGTTCTAATCCCGGCGGCCACGCTTCCCATCCAGCTCCCTGCTTGTGGCCTGGGAAAGCAGTCAAGGACGGCCCAAAGCTTTGGGACCCTGCACCCACGTGGGAGACCCGGAAGAGGCTCCTGACTTCGGACGGGCATAGCATCGGCCCGTTGCGCTCACTTGGGGAGTGAATCATCGGAAGGAAGATCTTCCTCTTGTCTCGCCTCTCTGTATATCCGCCTTTCCAATAAAAATAAAACAAATCTTTAAGAAAAAAGTCTATCAGTTAATAACAAACCTAGTAATTTTATAATAGAATTTCAAAGGAATTCCTCTACAGTTTTCTTTTTAAAGATTCTATTTAACTGAAAGTGTCAGTTATGGGGGGAGACAAACAGCCATTCTTCCGTCTGCTGGTTCATCCCCCAACGCCTGCGACAGACAGGGCCGGACCAAGCAGGGCGAGGCCTGGAACTCCTGGCTCCCCCACGCGGTGGCAGGGGCCCGAGGACTTGGAGCATCCTTGCTGCTTGCCCACACGGGAGCACGGAACTGGACCAGATGACGAAAGCGGTGCATGTGGAACGCTGGCTTCACAGCCGGACCCTCCCCGCTCACTCCCTGGACCCTCCCTCCTCATTCCTGTCTGCCGCCTACCAGAGGTTCACTGGTGAAGAGACAGTTAACAGTGAACCGCTCTAGTTAGAGAGAAACTGGAGACGATTTCTGTTTCCCTATGCGAAGTGACACAGGAGCTAAGGCGCGGTCCTCACAACCAAAGGACTGCCACAAACAGGGAGCACTCTCTCAGGAGACTCGTCTCACAGAAGCTCCCCGTGCTCCTCCACCCCATCTCCACCCACACCTTCCCAAAAACAGTCTAGTCCAGGACACTAGAATCTATACTGGCCAAGAGAGGTTGGGAAAAGGGAGTGTCAAGAAAAACGCAAGGTCAGGTCCAGAACGGTAGCCTAGTGGCTAAAGTCCTCACCTTGCATGCACTGGGATTAATCCCCACTGATCCACTTTCCTTCCAGCTCCCTGCTCGTGGCCTGGGAAAGCACTTCAGGAAGGCACAAAGCCTGGGATCCCAGCACCTGCGAAGACAGCTAGGAGGGTCCTGGCTCCTGGCTTCGGATTGGCTCAGCTCTTGCCATTGTGGCCAGTTTGGGAGCAAACCAGCGGATGGAAGATCTGTCTTTTCTTCTCCATAAATCTGACTTTCCAACAGAAGGATAACATTAGAATAATTTAATTTCAGGGCCCTGTGGTAGCCTAGCAGCTAAAGTTCTTGGTTTGCATGGACCAGAATCCCATATAGGCATGGGATCTAATCCCAGCAGCCCCGCTTCCCATCCAGCTCCCTGCTTGTGGCCTGGGAAAGCAGTGGAGGACAGCCCAAAGCCTTGGGACCTTGCACCCACGTGGGAGACCTTGAACAGGCTCCTGGCTCCTGGCTTCGCATCGGCACAGCAATGACCATTGTGACCACTTGGGGAGTGAACCAGTAGATGGAAGATCTTTCTTTCTGTGCCTCCTCCTCCTATTGCTATATCTGACTTTCCAATAAAAAAATAAAGATAACGGAATTTCAGTGGGGGCAGAAGGAACACCTGCAGGTAGAGCAGGTTATATTTAACTGTCACAGGAGACTCCGATTTTTCCATTGAGGTATTGAGTGACTGGTGGCCCCACCCCAAGTTTCCTCCACCCCCGGGCCTCCCCGACCCTGAGCTTGACCCCCCCACCTCCCGAACCAGGGTCTCCCAAGACCCCGAGGCCAAGCCTCCCTGGCCCTGACTCTCCCCTGACCCTCCACCCCAGTACTCCACAACCCGACCTTCCCCCGCGAACCCGGGCCTCCCAAGACCCTGAGGCCGAGCCTCCCTGGACCCCAAGTCTCCCCCACCCCGACTCTCCCCCGACCCTCGACCCCGGTCCTCCACGACCCGAGACTCCCAAGACCCCGAACAGACCTCCCCCGAACCCAGGTCCCTCCAACCCCGAGCCCCTCACGACCCCGAGGCCAAGTCTCCCTGAGCCCCAGCCTCCCCCGACGGGACCTCCCCCGATGCTGACCTCCCGACCCGAGCCTCCCACGACCCCTGAGTCCGGGCTTCCGCCGACCCTGAGCCTCCCTGCCCGCCCCCTCCCCGCGAACCCGGCCTCCCAAGACCCCGAGCCTCCCCCGACCCTCGACCCCGGTCCTCCCTGACCCCTAGCCTACCCGACCCCCGAGCCTCCCCCGACCCCAAGCATCCCCCCACGCCGACTCTCCCCCGACCTCCGAGCCTCCCCCGACGCCAACTCTCCCCGGTCCCCGAGCCTCCCCCACCCCTGGCTCTCCCCCGACCCCGACTCCCCCCCCGACCCCGAGCCTCCCCCGACCCTGAGCCTCCCCAAGCCCCCCGCCCCTGCACCGCCTCACTCCCCACAGGCGCGACCCGGGACCCTCGCCTGCCGCCACACTCACCAGAGTCTCGTCAGCGCCCGCTCCTCCGCCGGCCTCTCCTCCCCAGCCCGGCTCGGCCATCGTGCCCTCCTCAGCAGCCGGCTGCACCGCGAGCGCACTCCGGCTCTGCCCGGCCCCTCGGGACCCCGAGCCTCCACAAACCCCGGGGCCAGCCCGGCGCGGGGCGTGCGGGCACGCGGCTCCGAGCACAGCGCCCCCTGCGGCCGGGAGGAGCAGGCTCCGCCCCCGTGCGTCTCCCCTGCCCGGGGAGGGGCTGTCCGGGAGAGCCAGGGAAGGACAGCGGAACTGAAGATGCCCGCCCAGTCCTGGTCCAGGAGTCACACTGCAGTAACCTAGGGGAAGAGTGTGCAGCTTGTGGGAGAACGGAAACAGGGTGTGCGTGCCTGAGTGTGGGCACACACATCTGTGGTTGCTGTGGAATAGTCAAATGCACATAGATCTTGCTGTTTGCAGCATTTAATTTAAAAGCATGATTTTAAAAAAAGACCAAAAAAAAAAGCAAAACAAAACAAAAACATGATACAACAAAATTAACTTTTTTACTGTATAGGATTAGGAGTTTTAACACAGATAGAAGCATGTGTTAAACTGGCAATTATCAGGCTATTAATTTTAAAGATTGGAGAAATGAAGAGCAGTGATAAGAGAACCTGACACGCAACTGCATTTTGCATTATGAAGGAATTCATTCCCCAGAGTTCAACTTCCCTACACCTGTGCACACAATTCCATATGCTCTTCCCAAGATGAAATGATGGCACAGTATTTATTCTTCCAAATTTATGTTTAGTTGATATCTTTCAAATTAAGATCTGCATTTTCTGGCCCTCCTGGTACCTAAGAAATAAGGGTTCCCCAAGTGACTCGGTGAGAGCAGCAATGGAGATGACACTGCGACAGGCACTGGAGACTCACACACGCTCCGTCACTGGCTGCAGGTGATGCCCTGGGTGCACCTTGCTGTGGCCTCTATTGCAGCCCGAGAATCATTATCCCTTTCCTTACAGAAGCTCTTGACACTATTGCATTTGTAGTAGAGCTTATTCCTTAAAAATAATGCATACTTACAGTTAATAGCTTGGATCAGAAAAGAATAATTCATGATTATCGTTGGAAATCTGTAAAAGAACAGGAAGGAGTTAAACACTCAATCACAATCTCACAGTGGTGAGAAAGTGCAGCTTATTGTTTTAGAACACATTACTACTTTCCCTCAACCCTCTGCTTTATTTTTGAATCCATGTTTCTGGAAAAGCCAATCCCATTGGGCTATTTGATGAATGTGTGTTCCATGTCCATTTCCACAGCCATGGCTTGGAGTACAGTACAAGTGCTCTGTATCAGATTTGTTTCCTCATATTCTCCAATCCTAAATTTTGTTATTTATTATTTTGTTATTTCAAACATCACTGTCACATGACGTTTGAAAATTTTTACATATGTAAACACGCCATTTCTTTTGAAATGTTGTCACTGCCTGAATGCTTAAAAGTCCAATTCATTCCAAAAATGAACCATCTCCACATATAGTGTAAAGGCTTATTACGGTTTACATTTGGAAAACTTTCCAGTACTAAAAGTAGCTGTGAAACTGTGAGAAGTATACCCTGCCCATACATTCCTGAAGTTAAGCCTTTTTTTTTATGTTACATTATTTCCCAAATCATTTGGCATTCACCAAAATGTTCTCATTGTATTCCTTCTAAGTGTTACCGTTATGGTAGACACACATACAGAGTTGTGGGTGGGCGTTACAGTGCAACAGTCTAAGCACCTCTGGGGACACCTGCACCCTGATAGTGGCGCCAGTTCATGTCCCAGCATTTCTGCTTTTGATCCAGCTTCCTGCTGGAACATCCTGGAGGAGGCAGAAGGTGATGCATGATATCAAGGCCGCCCTCCCCTCCTCCCTGGCCTCTTCTGCCTCCTCCTCCCTCCTTCTCCTCCTCCTCATCCTCCCCTTCACCTCCCCCTCCTCCATCCCTCTATAGAAGGAGCCAAACTCAGGATACACAACCATACTCGCACATAGCGTCCACATGCTCCCGCCCCAGCCAAAAAATATACACACAAACCTAGGAAACTAATTAACTACAAACCGTCGAGCAACCCCGGCCACGATCTTCAGGATCCACCGCGACGCCCACAGACAGTCACTGGGGCTGATGGTGCGGGCAGAAACAAACAAAAAATGAGGTGTTAATTGTATACTTCCTGGGACAAGCACGGCCTCTCCTTTCGATTCCCACGGACCTGGCACCCCACTTGCATGATGATGTATTTGTATCTGGGAAAAGATTCTAGTTTAAAACGGTTTTAAAAGTCCACTGTACAAAAACCAACCACCACCGCCGCAACGAACAGGTGACAAAACGACAAAGTAACACAGACAAAAAAGAAAAAAACCTGCCTACCTACTCCGTTTGTTATGAATTTGTTTTAAAAAGAAAGAACTCTTTGAGAGGGAAATAGCAAATGTTTCGTGCCTTTTGTTGCTCTGTCTCTTTTCCTTTCTTTCTCTCTCCTGTTTGCAAGTCCAAGTATCACTCCAACACGAGGCGATCTTCTGTTTTTTGTTCGGCAGACAATCCTTTTCTTCCTGAGCACATTTTTCTCTCCCCTCTGTCACTGCCCGTGTGGGTACTGGTTATAAATGTGGAAAAAGAATAGTGAGAAATGTCTGTATATGCATGATGCATATCTTACTGATCGGCCATTTTCCCAGGTTGGAATACATGTGTAGAAATCGTCTGTATATGACACTGCCTTTTCTCCTCTCCTTTTGTTTCTTGCTTTCTCTTTTCTCCTTCCCACGCTCACCTACCTCTTTCCTTCTGGGCATTCTGCTCCCCCTCGGTCCTAGGCTCAGTTTGGCAGTCTGGGCTAGGCCCATGACATGCTGGATGGGGAAGGGAGACCCCGTGGCTACTAGGGAAAGAGGAGCATGAGAACCTAGTATTTTTTTTTTTTGAACCTAGTATTCTTATGCAAAAGTTTTTTTTTTTTTTCGAGTATTTCTTAGCTGCTCTGGCAGTATCGCTCACTCCCCATAGGGCACTTTCACTGTTAACTGCATGTTTATCTATATGGAAAAACTTTATAAAGTAAATACAGAATTCTCCATTGTCTTATATATATATAAAAAAAATTTACCAATCTAGTAGTATATCACTCTTAACCACTAGTTTGACAAAGATACAGAACAGGGGTTTACAAAGCTATGTTATCAACAATAATTCTACACACAGATTATCTCATTTTTTTATTTGCTTTTATGTTTTCTTCATTTTAATTTTTACCTCCCATGTACAAGAAAGAGCATGCGGAATATGTCTTTCTATGCCCAACTGATTTCACTCAGCTTCTATTTGATATACATGGAAGATATAAATGATGTATAAAAGAAATTCTTCATTCATCCATCTGATGACGAGCGCCTTCATTGACTTGTATCTTGGCTATTATGAAAAGTGCTGCTGTAGACATGGTGGCACGGGTATCTCTCTGGTAGAGACTTCATGCTTTTTGTGTACAGACACAGTAGTGGGATTGCTGGGGCATCTGGCAAGTTTCTTTCCAGCTTACTTTCCCACTGAAATCTCCAAGCTCTTTCCCACAGCAGGTCACTAGTTGGCATTCCCATCAACAGTGTGGGAGACGTACTCTTTCTGCGCATCCTCACCAGCGCTGGCTATGGTCTGTCCTCTGGGAAATGGCCATTATAACAAGAATGACATAGCTCACTGTGGATATGATTTACACTTCTCTTTTGGTGAGTGATTTTGAGTATTTTTCATACATTTGTAGCCCATTTGTATTTCTTCTCTTGTGACCTGTCTATTGAGTTTCTTAAACAGTTGGTTGGGTTCTTTGGGTGTTGTTTTGTTGTTGCTGTTTTTCATTGATGATACATTCTGGTGCAGGGGTCCAAGGACTTGGACAATAGTTCACTGCTTTCCAGATCCATTTGCAAGAGCTGGATCCCTGCAAAATGGAGTATCCAGCTCAAACCAGCAGCCATGCTGAATCCTGGAATTGCAGGCTGGGACTTAAACTACTGCACCCCCCATGAGTGAGATTCTTATGCTGCTGGCCCACTAACATGCACTTTTAGAGGTTATTAATTATCAGTCTTCAAATAATAGCTAACTATAAAAACTTTTTAGAACAAACAGGACACCTATGCAATTTCTTCTATAAAGTGAGTATCCTGTTGACACCAGAAACGCAAATGTACAGAAGAAACATAATTTTTTTGTAAAAGTCTCAAAACTGGACATTAAAAACAATCATTTCAGTAAAGTAGCAATAAGCCAAATGCAGTATTTTAAATATCAAACAAAACAAAACTGTAGGTAAAAATATTGGGAGAAATGAATGGGAGTCTCATATTCTTTTAAGATGAGACACAAAAACTAAGGAAATGCAGCCGGTGAATTTGTAAGTTGAATAGATTGGAGCCTGAACGGTGCGTAGGATGAGGGATGGTTCCTGTGAAGACATCATGACCTTGAACGTCAGCAGGGATAGGCAGCATCTCTCCAGGACATGATGGTACAGTCCAAACACCATCAAGTGTCCTCCTGAATAGGTACAATAAGAAAAAGCCCATTTCAGGCTAACAGTCGGTGAGCTTTCTCAGGGTGAAAAATAAGCAACACTTACTTCTCGGCTGGTTGTTAGACAAACTGAAATAACCTTGGGAAATTACACTTAGCCTCCTTTGTATATAACATAGATTTAGGTAATGCAATACAAGAAAAAAAAATGCACAAAATCATCATCAGATTTTTCTCAGTTGCAGTCCATGAAATTAAAAACAAAAGCGGAGCAGTGTCAGTTCTTTTCAGGAAGATGAGAAAACAGTTGTAGTTATATGCCTAAAGGGAACTTAGCAAGACCTCGAAGGGGTTCATCCTCCTTGTCCCCTTGGGCTCTAACTCACTAGAAAATTAAAGAGCAGAAATTGTTTTCTGGCGAGAATATGTCCTTATTGTTTTACTCCAGTTAAATCCTAAATCCTAAACAGGATTTAACAAG